AATTTTTCATATCTAATAAAAACCGCCTAGTACAATGCAAATCATACGGTTTTAATAATACTAAGTCCTAACCACATTTACTTAAAAGCCCAAACACAACAAGCCCAATACAACATAAATATAAATACTAATAATAAGAAATGGAATAACATTCAAACTAATGAAACGAGTCGATCATATTTGTCGAGATATGCTAATGCAATCTCGTCGGCATCATTCTCCCCCGGGTGGAGAGGATTCGCCCTCGAATCCGCAATCTCGTCGGTGTCCTGGACGACCCCGTCGACAAAATCACATACGTCAAAGACCATCGAGCGACCATCCTCCGAGCCGGATAACCCCCTACACTGCTTGGCGCGAGAAACGAATAAAATCGTAGACGACGATGGCAAAGGACCAGAACTGGATGACGACGGATGCAGGGCTATGAGGACGCCCTCAAATAAAAAACTATATGTGTTGAGCCATCCATCATGTACCACATAGCGATCAAATTGCCAAGGTCGTCCTAATAAAACGTGTCATGAATCCATAGGCACGACGTCACACCATGTCATGTCCTTATAAGAGGATCCGATAGAAAAAGTCACCAACACGCGTCGGGTGACACGAACAGAATCATCATGTTGTATCCACGCAAGAGCATACGGATCCGGATGCAGCTCACTTAACAACCCCAGTTTCGTCACAGCCTCGTTCGAAATCACATTCTCACAGGAACCTGAATCAATGACAAAACGACACACTCGACCACCAATGGTGCATGTGGATTCAAAAAGGTGGTGTCGCTGGATCGTATCCTCAAAAAGTTTGAAGACAAAAGAGATCGACGAAGGACAAATGCGTGACCCACATCTCCCGAAACATGCACTTCGGGAATCTCCAGCTCTTTACTGAAAATTGGAGGATCATCGTACGTAGTCGAGTCTGGCTCGTCAACAATCAAAGCTCGTGACCCTCTCGCCTTCGGGCACTGTGCCTGGTGATGCCCCGGGTCACCACAAGTGAAACAACGCGGACCACTAGACAGCCGATTGCCACTCCCCATCGTGGGGCCAACCACACGGCCTTCAGAAGGAGCACTCAAATCGAACGGAGTCTTCACCGCAGAGGGCGAGGTACCCAAAGTTCCAAGAGGCTCCTTTGTAGACGACGCAAAAGAAGTGTCCCCCTTCCGGGCCTGCTGCTGCTCAACCAATAAAGCCTGCTGATGAGCCTCAGAAACGGAAGCCGGTGTAAATATATTCAACACATCCTGAATAGAGACACGCAATCCCCCAATATAACTAGAAATCAACTGTTCCTGAGTTTCACGAATATCAACCCGAGCAAGAAGTTTATAAAAGTACTTAGTATAATCGTCCACACTACGTTGTCCTTGTCGAAGATTTTGTAAACGCTTATAAAGTACGGACAAAATTAAATGGTAAAAATTCCCGTTTAAGATACTTACGAAACTTCAACCACGACGTGATTTTTGATTTGCCCTGACGATGCCGCACACCCTTCAATTGTAACCACCAAGCAGCCGCTTGTCCACAAAGTCGAGTCGCCACTAAAGGTACTCGTCTATCATCCAGGATGCCTTTAAATCAAGCATCGACTCGACAGCGGCTAACCAATCAAGAAAGTCAGCCGCATTCAAACCCCCGATAAATTTCGAAATATCTACACGGAAAGAGGATTCCCATTTACCATCCCCTTCAGTCCCATGTCTGATAAAATGGGCCACACGTCCAGGCCCACCAAAAGCAGTCATGGCAATAAAATTTCCTCTGTCATGTCCAAAATCACGCCCACAATTCCCACCCCTAAATTGATGTTCTCTGCCTGTTAGAGTAGGATACCCGGCGTTCCAATCAGATTGGACGTATTCTACTTGTAAATACAATCTATTGGAATTATATTAATTAAAAGGCATTACTTTATTTTAAGAGTAAGCATTTATCATATATTTGCACTTAAGATAAAATCCCTAGATCACATATAGCTATAAGGTATGGTTGCGCATAGAGATGGTGATCATGGAAAATACCTTGAAAGCTGTGATCTTAAATACAGTTCCAAGTCGTTGAATGTTTCGAGATGGGATATCGAATAAATCCGGAAAAGACTTGAACATATGATGTATACTTGTTGGACAAGAATGTTGCATTCCATCAACATTAGCGTGGGACGCAAATACATATATGTGGGTGCTTGTTAGAGAACAAGTTCACTGAACATGACCGTATGAAAATTCTTAATGAAAGTTTATCATGTCGAATAAGAATTTTCATGTTACAATAGTACATGACTAATCCTTAGACTTGAGGCACGATGATAACTTTGTGCATATTATATTTTACTTTGATTTATCCTTTTGGTTGCTAGCACAATCGTATAAAGGGATATTTTGGGTATTATATTAGTATGTATGGAAGTTTGTCAGTGGCCAACAAAGGATTCGACACGTATGAAGATACGTGAATTTCCTATGTGTTTCATAGTTAGTAATTCAAAGTCCTTGGCCAAGGCGGGATGAATAGAGATTCATAAACGAATTACTAAACTTGAAATGGAATCATAGTTATTAAATCAATTTGGGTTTCGACAAAATCATACCCAAGATTTAATCGAGAAATTGGATGTCGAAAGGATTTTACATGTATGGACTTGTAATCGAAATAGGTTTACTCGCTATTCACTTAATACTAGATTCATGCTATTTGCTAGATGTTCTCATGATATGTGGGTTCTTGAAATTAAGGAGTTAATTTCATGATAAGAATTAATTAGATTAATTCAAATTACAAAGAGTTGTAAGCCCACTGCTAGTATTAATTGTGAACCTAAAAGGTCACACCAATTTTTGAATGAAGGTAAAATTCAAATAGTAATTCTAAAGATTTAGAATTAATTGACAAAACTAATTTGATTGGACGTCAATTAAAGGAATATATTAAATTAATCAATTAGATTGATTAATTGTATTTTTAGATATTAATTTAATAATTAATGAAATTACTAAATAAATAGTTGAAATTTAAAATTAGATTTTAAATTTCAAATCCAAATAATAATATGATTATTAAATGAGGAGATGGGACAAAAGATTAAAATAATAAAGTCTTGAAAAATTGTTTTCAAGAATTATTATTTTATATTAATAAGAATAAATTAATTATGGTGGTTTGGAGTTGTTAACTACTCTACATAATTAATCTTATTTTTATTAATACAATATTTAGTGGGAATAGTCCTATTCAAGAATGAATATTTTATGAAAATATTCTTGAAGACTTTTTATATTTTATGAAAATATTCCACCAAATATTATTATTTTATACTAAAATGTTTAGTATAAATATGGACATACATGATGTTCATTTTAATCCAAGATTTGATCTTAAGTTTTTCAAGAGTTGAAAAAGAGAGAAAAGAAGAAGTGTTCTTCAAAATCTAAAACAAGAAAGAGTTCGTGTAAAATCTCCTCAAAATATATTCTATACATATTGAATAAAACCGAGTAGTTTCTACTAGCGAAGAAACTATTTCGTAACCGAATTCAAAAAGTGGATACGATTAGAGGGAAGACATTTGGATTCCTAAAGCGAGTAACATCAACAAATAGAAGTTACCAAACCGGGAATTGATTTCCTCAACCATCTTCATTTTTGAAGGAGTTCAAGAACAAAGGTAAATTTTAATTTACTTACAACAAATCAAAATTTGTATTATTACATGTTTTAAATGATGACGATTCGTGCATCCGCTATATGTACGTATGGGTTGAGTATTTATATGATAAATACTTGTTTTTGAAACATAATTTTCCGCTGCGTATAACCCGTACGGTACAGGCGAACCCAACACTGCCAACATCAAAATTTCCTATGTTATCGCCACAATCACGCATAGGAGGAAAAAAATTGCCACGACTTGCACCAAAATCATCATCCCAAAACAATCCATTCGCAGTCCGATCTTCCGTGAAATTGGCAGATCCACGCCGACCAGCCCGTCGCCATCCACAATCTTCTTCAACACTGGCAGCTCCTCGCCGTAACTCACGGTCTGCAACTCACTGAAAATCGCAGCCTAGGGATTCGCACCTGTGGCCCACTCGTCAATTGACGGGGCTGCCGTGGGGCTGAAACCCGACTGGTGCCCGATGGTTAGCAGCAACATCGGGGTCGCGAAACCCGTCCTCCCGTGGTCGCCGGATATCCATATCTGGGTCGCGAGCCAAGTCCTCTTTAAATGGAATGATGTCCGACCACGTGGCATCACTATCACTGTTGTCAAACAGATGGAGTGGGGGCGGTTAGCGGGGCACCCCATCAAACCCTCGTCCACCCCGACCGCTTCTGGTGACCGCGAGACCGCCACGACCGCCGGCAACATCACGATTGCTTGTTGTTCTCGCACCAAATCAGCAAGAGTAAGACGTATATCATCGATTCCGGTTGAAAGATCTGTCACCCGAGTGTCAAACCAATTGCATCCGATCATCCATACATTGGAGACGCTCGTCAATTTCGGCATCTCGTCCCCTCGGCGGCATCGTCGGATCGTCCTGGTCGCTGATACCAAATGATGCAGAGTAAAGCCTGTATAGTTTTCTTATTCAGAGAAAACGAAGAACACACAGAACAGTTTTTCTAATTTTTCATATATGATAAAAACCGCCCAGTACAATGCAAACCATACGGTTTTAATAATACTAAGTCCTAACCACATTTGCTTAAAAGCCCAAACATAACAAGCCCAATACAACATAAATATAAATACTAATAATAAGAAATGGAATAATATTCAAACTAATGAAACGAGTCGATCATATTTGTCGAGATATGCTAATGCAATCTCGTCGGCATCAATTATTATAACTCCAAACTCAGCTGCCATGTTCATCATTGAAAATCTTAACTAGCCAACTACTGCCATGTTGGATTGGAGCAACATAAACTTTTCATTAACAACCCTCACTCTTGCACACTGCCATAAGCCTTCTGCTATCATTCAGTGTCAGAGCAAATTGACTTCCCACCCTTAAAGCAGTAAGTCTCAATGGCATGTTTTACATATGCTTTGCAACTGAAAAACAATCCTAATTTAAGGATTGGTTTCCTACTCTCAGTAGCAGGGTTGTACTTAGGGTATTTTGACATGGACAAGTCATCTTCATCATAACCAACCAAACTTCAAGTTCATCACTACTAATGACTGGTTGTAATGTATCCCTATATAACCTAGAACTAACATCAGCTCCCAACGTTTCTTTTGGGTTCAGAACTCTGCCCTAAGCCAACAAACTCAACATCATGATCAACAAATTTCTCATACAACTGATCATTCTCCATCATGTCATTGTCAAAATCAAGCAAAACATCACTATCATATATGATTATCACTATTATTTTCAACAGAAGGGTCAGGGTGGGCTTCTGTTTCAGGGGCTTTTATGTTGTAAATTTCATCAAGAAAGGAATTATCAATATCAGTCTCAGGTTCATCTTCTTGCAAACGAGGTTTATTAGGTTGTGGACGGTTTGAATGTTCAATGTGAGTAAGAACCTCACTATTCTGAGGAATAAACTGAAGAATATCAAGCACATCAGAATTTTTAATCAAGACTTTTGCTCCCTCATACCAAGAATTACCATATTGATACCAAAACCTAATATTCTGCTCCTCATAACCTAATTGTTTGGCGACATCATTCATTTCAGTCTGAGCTAACTTTTCCTCATCAACTCCATCAAAATAATCAACAAACTCCCCACGATAATACCTTGTAATTACTTCAATCATTTCCCCTCCATGGAAAATTTTCAAAGTAAAATATGTATCCTCATATAAGTAAGAAATATAAAAAGAGAAATCGAATTAAAATTTGATGATCATGCAGTTTATAGAAAAATTAAGCAGAGAATGAGTAAGATAACATACCTTAGATTGGCGTTTCATTCGTATCTGCTTGGTCTCTTTTGGCCATGGAATCAAGCTGGAATTTGATGAATTGGGGTTCTCAGGTGCGAAATCGAATTAGAAAATTGATGAATCGGAATGCTATTAGAAGGATTCGAGCTGTAATTTCATGAATAGGGTTGCAATCGGAGAAATCGAGTTTCGATTTGAGGAATCGAAGGAACATTTAGGGTTTTTTTTCTCAGGTGCGAAATCGAGTTAGAAATTGAGGAATCGGGCTGCAATTAGAAGGATTCGAGCTGTAATTTGATTAATCGAGCTGCAATCTGAGAAATCGAGCTTCAATTTGGGGAATCGAAGGAACATTTAGGGTTTTTCTTCTCAGGTGCGAAATTGAGGCAAAACAAAATGAAGTAACTGAAACCCTAAATTCGATGTTAGATAGGTCCGTTCACTACTAACGGAGAATAGACGGGCAACTGACAGTCGGTGAATAACGTTGTTGACAATTCCATACTATGGGTACTGAAATATATCCGAAGTGTAAAAGGTGGGTACTAATTCAAAATGGTCCATTTGAGTATGGAAATTGCAATTACCCTATTTTTTATCATTACAACTTTATAGCTATAAACAGAATTATTAGTATAATCAATATATTAATAAAAATTGATACAGTCATAGTTATAAAACTCCAATTAACTTCTGTATTTTATGTCTTCTATATACATTTGACAAAAATTCTATGGAGCCATCGGATGGTTTTCTTATGGAGTCTTAATATATTAACACTAAGGTTGTAAACGAATCGAATCAAAGCGAATACTCAGAGATTCGATTCGGATTCGTTAAAATATTCGAAGATTCAAATTCGTATTCGATTCGTTAACGAACTTATTTTTTGATTCGTATTCGATTCGTTTAGAATATTCGAACATATTCGATTCGATTCGAAATTCGTTTAAAAAAAATTATAATTAAAAAATATTATAATTACAAATAATAACTTTTATTTTTCATATATTTTTAGGAAAATTTGTTAATTTATGATATTTTTACTTTTTATATCATAAAAACAGTAGGAATATAACAATATATATATATATATATTATATATATATATAGTATAGACAAAATGTATACTATATATAATTTATAAAATTTATATAATTATTGTTAACGAACCGAATGTCTACAAATTCGAATTCGGATTCGTTTAACTCTCGAATATAGAACATTATTCGTATTCGAATTCGAATCACGAATATCGAATTCGAATATCGAATCGAATCTAAACAATTTGATTTGTTTACAAGCCTATTTAACACCTGCCTAATTGTATGATACAATTGGTGAATAATGTGGATGGCTCCTTAGCAAAACTATTACATTTGATCTCTTTTTGTGTTTACAATTAAATTAATTTACGCATTGTTTTTTGCAGTTTGGTTGGAGTAGGTGTTAGTATTACCCTCGTTGATGTCCAATTTATTAGAATTTACAGGCAATTATAAAGAATAAACTATGTCAATTAAGGGTGTGATTGGATATGAATTTGATTGTTTTTTTTTTTTTTTGTTAATCAAAGTTAATTTTAGAAAATATAGTATGATTCGTTAGTGGAAATTTAAGTTTAAAATAATATTTAAATAAACTAATTAAAGTTGATTTGATGTAAAAGTAGGAGAAAAATGATTGAAAGTGATGATTAGTTAAAATTATGTGAGTGCATAAATAATGAATTAAAGTTGATGTGATATATAAGAATGATTGGTTGGTATTATTTAATTATATTGATAATACTAGTACAATACCAGTGTATTACACGGGTGTTGAATTAGAAAGTTTTTGTAAAAAATATTAAATTGTTTATTTTCTTAAAAACTAAAATAATTTAATTTTATATAAAACATTACTTTGGGTTTTAATTGAATTGTCAAATTATATTTTTTTAATCATAATAATTAAACACCCGTACATTAAATAAAAATGTCAACCCATGTTGAATTTTTTTACTTATATCATATAAAAATATCGATATTATTTACTATTACATAAGTACAAAAATATATATCTTAAGTAAATAGAAATATTATGGTGATATGTATATGCATCAGTGTGGAATATGTTTATTTAATATTAAGCAAAATAGATTAATTTTTTTTACTTAACTAGATGCCTAATACATCAAGTGTCGTATCAGTCGTGCTTCACAGTTTTTTAACTTTATATGTAATTTTAGAATTTAATAATAATTATTTATTTTTATTACATTGACAACATATCAATTAGATTTGAAATAAATATCATTTTTAAACGAATACATACTAATTTCTATTACTTTACAATATAATTTATAGTTTTATTTGATATAATTTATTAGTTTGATAAATAAATTTAAATTTTATCTATAAGGATATATATTACAGTTTTGTATCTATTCATAGATAAAAGTATTTTATATCCTTATTAGTAATATATTACTAATAGGCCTAATTCATAGATAAAAGTATTTCATATATATATATATATATAAATAAATAGTAAAATACAAACGGACCTCATAATATCAATTCAAATGCAACACACTAATTAAGATTTTTTTTTTCTTGACAATATTTATCCTATTTAATGGATGTTATGAGAAACGATGGAGATGAGATATGAAGATACACTGTGTATTAGATGGAGGGTTAAAATTGGAAAAATATGAACAAAATATCTAAAACGACATTTATTTTATCAATGATCAATTAAGCCAAAGCGACAAATAATAAAAATAGGAGGGAATATATATTATTATATATTTTAGAATGACACATGTTACTTGTGCGACTTATATATGTTATATTATAATAAATTTTCTATCTTATAACATATAACTACATTAAACATAAATATATTAATTGATAAATAATTTTATTTCTAATTAATTTTAATAAATAATTTTATTATTATTATAAAGATAAATCGAAACTCATCAAAAGATGATAATTTGATATATTATATATGTAAAACCGATAAGAAATACAAAAGTTATTAACTTTTAAAATATAGTGCAATTCAATGGTTATAATAGAAAATGATATTAAAATACAATTAATACAAATATTAATTTATATCTAAGCCTAACTCCAAAGCATGATTTTTTGCCAAATACGATTCCGAAGCATAAGAATTTGCCACGTAGGCTCAACGCATTCTGAAATTATATATAGAGGTGCGACTTTTATGTGTTATATTATATTAAATTTTCTACCTTATAACATATAACTACATTAAACATAAATATATTAATTGATAAATAATTTTATTTTTTAATTAATTTTAGTAAATAATTTTATTATTATTATAAAGATAAATATAATATATTTATTTTATATATACAATGTGGATGTCAAATCGAAACTCATCAAAAGATGATTAATTTGATATATTATATATGTAAAACCGATAAGAAATACAAAAGTTATCAACTTTTAAAATACATGTGCAATTCAATGGTTATAATAGGAAATGGTATTAAAATACAATTAATAAAAGTATTAATTTATATCCAAACCTAACTCCAAAATTTGATTTTTTGCCAAATAGGATTCCGAAACATGAGAATTTACCACGTAGGATCAACGCATTCTGAAATTATATATAGAGGGGATTGATGATAGTGAGATTGAATTAAAATTTAGTTAAATTTAAGTTTTGATTGATTTTTGTATTCGTCAAGTTTGTATCCGATCACACCCTAATTAATCCAAAATTATGTTATTGATGGCGTGTGACATCGTTTCCTTTTAGTTGAGTGTAGATAGTTAAAAATACATTAAAAGTTAAAGCGTCAAAATTAAAATAATTGAATTTGATTGGATATAAGTTATTTTTGGATTTGTTTCGATTTGTATTAAAATAATTGAATTTGATTGAATATAAGTTATTTTTGGATTTGTTTCGATTTGTAATCAGAGAAAATTTTGGAAAAAGTTTATTGAGTTAGGTTTGAGTGATATATTGATTTTGTATTAAAATAATATTTAAAATATTACAATTAAAGTTGATTTAAAAGTATGAGAGATGTGATTATAAATGATGGATAGTTAAAATTATATAAATGGATGAATAATTAATTAAAGTTGAAATGATGTGTGAGAATAATTGATTGATATTATTTAAATATAATGAAAATATTAAAACGAGTTTGATTGAATTAAATTTAAATTTGATTTTAGCTAAAAAAAAAAATAATAATATATCCGGTCACTATAGATAATTTGTATCCAAACATGACTTTGGCTTATTGGGCGTTATTTTCACATGATGGAATATATCGTTTGGTGCCCAACATTTTGCTTTAATATGGTAATGGTCAACTATGGTCAGATAGCTATTTTTAAAAATATTCTAACTACTTAAAAAGTGAAAATCTGAAAGTAACTAATTTAATCTTTAGTTCATACTCCAACTACATTTCCTCCTACATGTCGATACCACATAGCTTTAACTACCGCGCTTACTACAAACGAGAAAATACTATGAAGCCAATGGCTGACTCTTTTATGGAGCCGACACGTAGGTCATGTAGAGTTAATTATTTTTTTACATGGCTTACGTAGCATTATAACATTGGTGGTTGGTTCCATAAAGGAGCCAACCATTGACTCCATAGCATTTCTCTACTACAGACAATAGCTCGGTATAAACCAAGGATCAGCCAGCCCTAGCGGGTTTAGCCTGGATTTAAACGGGCTACTAATAAAAGGACCTAACCCTAAACCTAGCGGGCTTCGGGCTATACGGGCTATAATAATAATAATAATAAAAATAAAAATAAAAAATTACAACACTTAGTTAACGATTTTTTTTCAACGGCTATTTAGTATTTACCACTATATATATACAACTACACTTCATATATGAACACAAATTACAAACTTTTAAATAACATATTATTTCTCAATAAAAAAAAATGTCCGAACTATTACTTATAAGTACCATTCGACTAGTTATTTGGTACGCTTCGGGAATTTTCACAATATAGCATA